CCCCAAAACCCCAAAACCCCAAAACCCCTCATTCTTGTAAAATTATTGAAATGGAATCCATCCCATCTGTGAGTCCCAATCTAATTTCTAGACCTATAAAGCAGTAGTAACTGATTTTAAAAAGCCTTTCTTGACAGATATTGCAAGAAGGAAGCCTGTTAAGGGAGAAGTCATGGTCAAAGTCATGACAGCAGCTGTAAACCCTTCAGACAACTTCTTTGTGATCGGTCAATACGGAAGCACTAAGAAATTCAAGCAACTTCCTGTAGGAACAGGGCTAAGTGGAGCTGGAGTGGTTGTTGAAGTTGGAGAAGGAGTCTCAGAGGATTTGATAGGTGCTAGAGTAGCACTAAACCAAATGCCAAGCAATCCAGGGTTCATTGGAACATACAGGCAGTATACTTTCATTAGTGCTAAAACAGTATATCCTTTCCCTGAGACAATGAGCTATGATGATATCTGTAATGCAATGGGTGCTAACCCAATAACCATCGCTGGGTTCATGGAAACTGCGGAAAGAGATGGGCACAGTGCATTCATTAATGATGCTGCTGCTTCTTCCTTAGGAAGAATGTTTGCAAAATACTGTAAAGTCCACAAACTTCCTCTGATTAACATTGTAAGAAGGAAAGAGCAAGTAGATATCCTCAAAGAGGAAGGAGCTGAACTTATCTTAAACTCAAGCGAGTCTACCTTCTTTGATGACTTAAAAGCAATGATTGATGAGTATAAACCAACTGCCTTTTTTGATGCTTTGAGTGGTGATTTCCCTCAAAAAGTCCTGCATCTCATGCCAAGTGGTTCTACCATGTATGTTTATGGAGCTCTTTCTTTGAGTCCTACTGTAAACATCTCAGGAGGAGACCTCATCTTCAAGAACCAGACTATTAGCAACTTCTGGATCCCTACTTGGATCAAAAACACTAAGAAGGATGTCTTAATGAAATGGATGAGAGATATAGTTCAGGATGTAATGGAAGGAGGCACTATATTTGGAACTAAGGTATCTAAAACATTCCCTCTTGCTGAATTCGACTCTGCAATGAAGTAAGTCTTTCATCCCACACCGCTAATTTCTCTAGATATTCTGTAGACAATGCATCTGAAGGCAAGGTGATGATCAGACCTCAAGAATAAAATGACGTAAGAATAATAGTTTGGGCAGGCCTAACAATTTCAATTACGTATAACTATATTGGGGTTTTGGGGTTTTGGGGTTTTGGGG